GCAGTGTATATGCTGGACACATTCGCATAATTGATACACGCAGACCAATGAAAATTACAAAATACAAATTAGAAAATAATAGAATTTCTGCCTTTTGGTCCGTATTCTAAGTCTCTGATGAAGGTTTAATAAATGAATAGTAAACAATTCCCTTTTGTTCTTTATCTTTCCATCCTGTCGGATCATGCTCCATATTTGATCCTTAAACCATATTTATCTACATAACTGAAATATCTATATTCCAACGACAGTAGGTTACACAATTTTATACACGTATTTTATTAGCCTTTATCGATATTTCAGTTAAATTCTTTAGGCTATCTCACATTATTAGTTCCACAAGCTCAGAGCTTAACATCTAGAACACGCCACGCTACGAATACATAATTGTTTCGCCTTCTTTCACTTTATAATTCATTAGTTAAGAGAGAGTTCAATCCAGACACTTTATAGTCCGGAAATACTTCCTTGTGAAACAAAGCCCAGATGGGATGCCTACCAGATAACTACAATCTTAACTTCATTACTTATATGGTCAACTGATATCTATGTTCATAATATAAACTTAATGCTTTCTTCTTTACCCTCTTAGACTAACTTCATTAATAGACGTCTATCTTGGGTAACACAATGGGATCGTATTGTGCTATCAACGTAATGAATTAGGACGAATTGATCTGTGCGTTTTGATAGAAAGATACATATAAAATTAATAGAGAAATTGACAAATCCATATAGTACTTATAAATGTTTCGGTAATTGTATAATGATAGAAAATAGTGGAGAAATGTGAATGTTTGGTACTTTTTCATGCCCTAGGATTACAAAGGAACACAGAAATTCAGTTATTAAAGTATTCATTAAGTTTTTTCAAAGAAAACTATATTTTACAACAGTGTAAACATAAATTTGAGGGCTACGATTCAGAATATATCAGTTGATTTAGTTAAAGAGCAATAGAAAAACTAATATAACGTTAAACCATAATGGCAAGCTCAATCATACCAATGTTGTCAAACAAACAAAATATTTCTTCAAGAAATCTCTAAAGAAAAAAAAAGTAACAACACCTGATAAAAATACTATTTTGACATTGTAAGTGAAAAGATGTGAAAAGAAAAAAACTACATGTGCCATTTTTCGGGGATCAATTTCTGTACTATTCTGTTGTATTATATATATATATATATATATATATATATATATATATGTGTGTGTGTGTGTGTGTGTGCGTGTGCGTGTGTGCGTGTGTGCGTGTGTTGCATTTTTTCCATCTGTCTTTCCTACAAATATTTTCATAGTAACTGCTCTAATGGTGTTTTTTCCAACTGCCCCTAGAATACATGAATTTAAACATTCTACTAGATTGGTAACAAGGTCTCACTGTATTACCGTTGAATTTGCTAGATGCAACCACATCTTTTCCACTAACAATTTCTTTTCACGATCTTCACATCTCTGTAACTACCTTCCGATTTCTCTCTACCCTAATGAATATAATCTTCCAAAGCTTAAATACAGCGTCAGTTCCATTTCCTGAACCATGTTACTTTTTTCTCCATTCTTCAATGCCCCCATTATCTTTCTCTCATTCTATTTCTTTTTCACTGACTATAACCCCTTGTTTTAGCGACATTACCGTGTTGCTTAGAGTGAAACGATTACAAATATTTCAGTTGAAGCCACAGCTGCGGGAATAAGTTACCAATTAAGGATTACAATACGAGTGGGAATAGGCAATTATATATATACGTGCTGAGTCCAATGTTCTTTGAATAAAATCTGCTTTCCTTTTGATTAAATCATGAATCGGTAAAGATGAAATGGTTACTGAAAAAAAGCATATGGTACTGACGACCCGATTTTGAATTGCCGTGAAACCAGATATAGTTTCACGTCTCTCTGCTTCATGTACGATTTCTAAATATCTTGGAAAATATCTTCGTTGGTATATTCCAAAAACAAAGCGAGTGAACGATGATTCAAATATAATCATATAGAGAGAATGCAATGATTAAATTGTTGCCATTTCATATTTTTAATTTTGCGCATGTACAGTTTGCTTTTGATTTTGTCGTCTACACATTATGGTAGTTTCAGCTGGACGATGTCTGCGCGAAAAAGAGCACAGTGTCAGAATTCACTCTGACAGAAATTTGGAAATGGCATTGTGTATTTCTTGGCATTCGCACCAGAAGCTTCAATACGAAGGTTTCAGAATGTTTCGGTGTCAAAGTAAAGAGAGTGCAGAGGAATAGGAAAAAGTTGGATATGTCTAATTGTGATTATGAAGGTAGGACAACTCGGAAAACTGACTCTTGTCTTTCTGATTAGAAAAGAAATCCTGGATTTGTTGGCGATGGCCTCAGAATAAACACGGACGCCGACATCAAATGTCTTGAGTGGGTAGCGTTTCCCTGGTTCAGGAAGGTGGCTGCTGGAAGATCCTATCTCTGGCAAAAGGACTGCATCATTTCAAACAAGCAGGAGAACACTATCATAACTGTCAGACAATTTCTGCCATCACGTCACCCCTTATATCTGGGTATCTAACTCCCCACACCCCTTTGATTATTATGTGTGCGGTGTAGTTCAGTGAGAGAAGAAAAAAAAACAACATTGCCACAACAAATATGAACTGATGGCAAGGGTTATGGAAGCATTCACCACCTTATACAAGGAAACCAACCTGAAGAGATGCAGGATTCTGAAGTCGTCGTTAGGTTGTGGTTCGTGTTTGAAGATATTTTTACGCAATTTTGTGTAAACATATCTATTAAAATTACATCTCAGTGTTATTTTAATGTCTGCGTATTTGCGACGACAATTTAGCCATCGCACCCTGAATATATTTTCCAAGAAAATAACGCTTTAATGACACAAGTAAAATTAATCTTTGCCTGGAATATATTTAACAGTAAAAATATACACAACAGGTTATATCATTAGAATCACTTGAATTTCCGAAGATCAGCAACATTAGACATCATCTATCTCAAATTTAAAGAGATTCCTATGCGTTAAACATCTGGGCACACATGAAAGCACACGCACAATTACATAAACAGTAAGGCATGCATGCACGCATACTCACATATTTCCTGCAGTTTTGGGTAAAGTTGATTAAAATACTTTAAGTATCATTCTACTGAGTTTTCTATATTTTGGGACACTTTCCTCTTTTCTGGCTACTGTTAGTAATTATATATATATATATATATATATATATATATATATATATATATATATATATATATATATATATATATATATATGTTTGAAAGGAACATTCACAGGGACTTGCAATATGCGATGTTTGCACAACTGGTTTGGTTTTCACATGTGACAGTATTTTGTATTATCCATATGTAGAAAGTTTACATTTGCACCTGTCGCCTGTATGAGTCTTCTATGAAATAGCAATATTATTTTTTTTTTATGTCAATAGTGAAAATCGACGAATATAATTTACATTATATTTTATAACTTCTTTTTTTATATCCGCAATTGTAAAGCAAATACAACAACAACAAAAAATAAAATAAAGCTGGACAAGTTGCCAATATCTTTTTACCATTTTACGTTGTTGACGCCGTATAAGAGAATATTAGTTATAAATCTTTCGCTTGATTTAAAATTGGAAATTTGATATGAAAACATGTGAAGGAACACGTGTGTTTAATGTCGTTGATGATCCAGATCGTACGAAACCCAACATCACATAGATATATGTACATATATAAAATGAGACATGTAAGTTATTTGAAAATATTCGGATAGGTTAATTTCGATGATAGCTCAATATTTAGCGGGATAATTTAATGAACCGCAATCCCCCGTAGATAGTATTTAAATGCAAAGACATTAAAGTGTATTGTATACAATGATTTAAAAAGAATTGGCCAAGCGATAATAAGTCACCTTTAAGTAGATTAAAAGATGGATTGCATCCGACAAAAGTTTTGAATCTGGTGAAATTGAAAGATTATATCTTACTAGTTTTCTTCGCAATATCAAGCGTTAAATGAAAAAAAAATATGATGTGTCAAGGCAATAAACGATAAAAAGCGTCCAGGATTTGTCAAACAAAATCATGATGTGTTGAATCATTACAACCTCAGACATTACATGTTATTTCAGGTACAACACCAATTATAAATATATGTACATACATTAAAAAAACAATAAAGTAATTGTGTTTTTTTTCCATGTTTTTAGATAAGACATTTAACAATCTAGATACGATTTATCGTAGGAATCACTAAGAGCGTTTGAGTTATTATACTAAAAGAGAGCAGGTTACAAAATTTTGTTTTAGACCTTATTTATTCCAAAATGAGCAATGGTGGGAGGGAAAATATCATTCAGACTTTCAATTATGGTACAAATATTTATACTCTGACTTCCATTATCAAAGTTCATTCAAGAACCAACATGAGGACGGTGAATAAGTTTTAAATGAAACAGTAGAAAAAAAAATGGATTAGGAAGTAACAACAAGAAGAGGGATCACCATTTCTACTTCGAGCTAAAGCGATCAATTATAAAATTCCATCTCAATTCATAAGGCATTTGGCACGTGAGAGTGGACTTACATCTACGACAGCCCAAACAACAGTGAAAAAAGACTTGAAAATGAAAACGTACGTGAAACGTGTGAGGAAACCTGTTACTCCAGGACAGAAACTTAGGAGATCGAAGATCACCTTGAATAAGTTGCAGACTGATTCTGGAATAATATATATATATATATATATATATATATATATATATATATATATATATATGAAATTATTTCAATCTCACATGAGCTTCCGATACTTAGCTATGATTAATTAATGATAATCATGAAATTTTCGTTCAAAATCGATTTCATCACTTTTCTTTTCTTCAGCTTATACAGTGAGTATACATTCTTCTTGCGCAAAGGAGAGTCCAGTCGTTATAAATTCGTCGGAGAATTCTAGTAATATATCTTTAATCAATTTACAACGGTTCAGAGCTTAATCAAACAGTTGGTACAAATTTGTTGTTACACCCGTTATCTATCTATCTATCTATCTATCTATCTATCTATCTATCTATCTATCTATCTATCTATCTATCTGTGTGTGTGTGTTTAAAATTAACTACATTGAGGTTGGTTGTATAATAGCTTAGTGTAAAGGAGAGAGGATTGCCAGTATTCAAATAGTAATCAAAACTACAATGTTGTTCGCTTGATGCGAACAGCAAGACATACGGTACAATTTATTTCCCGTGAATTATATTTAAGCACCTGGAAGATTAAGTAAAACGGGAAGAAGAAGAAAATGTGATTTCGTTACATATTTTTATATTTCTCTCTGACTGTGGATAATATATCCTCAGTAAAGAGAGCTACAGTGACATATCCCCTGTTAGTGAGCTGTCCTCAGCCAGAGAGAGGCAGTTGCAGAGAGCTGTCTTCAGCCAGAGCGAGAGACAGACAGATGCAGAAACATGAACTCAACCAGAAAGAGGGAGAAATGGAAACATTGATAGAGTGATATGTCATCAGCAAAAGAGATTTACTATGCCAGAGAGAGAGAGAGAGAGAGAGAGAGAGAGAAAGACATATACAGAGATATATCTACATCCAGAGAGAGAGAGAGAGAGAGAGAGAGAGACAACGATAGAGAAGAGTGAGGGAGTGATACAGATGTCTTTACAACGAGAAAGATAATTTCTCTGGCTGTTGAAATGTCACACTATCTCCCTCCCTTTCTCTCTCTCTCTCTCTCTCTCTCTTCTCTCTCTCTTTAGCGAGGAGCATATTACTGTATCCGTCTTTTTCTATCACTCTCTCTGGTGGAGAACATCTCCCTTCATCTGTCTGTCTGTCTGTCTCTCTCTTTTTCTCTCTCTCTTGCGGAAGACAGCTCTCTGAATCTGCCTCTCTCTGGCTGAGGACATCTACTGGCTGGGGACATGTCACTGTATCTCTCTCTCTAACTCTTTGACTGAGGGCATATCTCTCTATCTTTTTCTCTCTCTGCGTTGGAACATTTCTCTTTATCTGCCTCTCTCCTGCTAAGAATATATCTCTGGCTGTGAAAATCTATCTGTGTCTGTCTGTCTGTTTGTCTGTCTGTCTCTCTCTCTTTCTCTCTCTCTCTCTCTCTTTCTCTCTCTCTCTCTATCTATCACACTGCCTGGCTATTTCTTGCTGCAGCCATGTCTTTGTCGGACTCTCTAAATTCTTCTCGCTAGAGACACCTATATGTCTCTCTCTGGCTCTAGACATCTTGTATTTGTCTCTCTCATTCTCTCTCTCGCTGTAGACATGTCTTTGTCACTCATTTTCTCACTCGCTGTAGACATATCTCTGTCTCTGTCTCTCTCTCTCGCTGTAGACATCGCTCTGTATCTGTCTCTCTCGCTGTAGAAAATCTATATGTTTCTCTCTTTCAGTTTAGAAATCTCTATGTATCTGTCATTCCCTCTCTCTGTCACTGTAGACATTGTTCTGTATATGTATATCTGTCTCACTCTGGTTGTAGAAATCTCTCTGTATCTGTCTGTCTCTCTCGATTGTAGACATCTCTCTCTATCAGTGAAGACGTCTCTCTGTATATATCTCTGTCTCTCACTTTAGACACGAATCTGTCACTCCCTCTCTCTCTCACTGAAGAAATCTCTCTGTACCTGTCTTTCTCTCTGTCTCTCGCTGTAGACATCTCTCTGTATCCGTCTTTCTTTCTCTCACTGTAGACATCGCTGTATCTCTCTTACTCTCTCTCGCTTTAGACATCTATCTTTATATATATCTCTCTCTCTTTGCTGTAGTGATCTCTCTATATATGTCTCTCGCTCTAACTGAATGAATTTGTCAATCACTTTTTCTCTCTTGCTCTCTCTCTCTCTCTCTATAGGCATCTCTCTGTATCAGTCACTCTGCGTCTCTCTCCAGCTGTAGACATCTCTTTGTATCTGCCTGTCTTTGTCTCTCTCTCTCTCTCTCTCTCTCTCTCTCGCTGCAGACATCTCTTTTTATCTACATGTTTCTGTCTCTCTCTAGCTGTAGTGCAGATATCTCTCTCTATTTGTCTCTCTTTCTCTCTCGCAGTAGACATCTCTCTCTGTCTCTCGCTCGCTAAAAACATCTCTCTCAATCTGTCTCTCACGCTGTAGACATCACTCTACATCTGTCTGTCTCGCTCACTGTAAGCATCAATTTGTAACTCTCTCTCTCTCTCTCTCTCTCTGGTGTAGACAACGCTTTATATCAGCCTCTCACTCTCTCTCGCTGTAGACATCACTCTGTATCTCTCTCTCTCTCTCGTTGCACAAATCTCGCTGAATATGTCTTTCTCTTTTGATTTAGACCTCTCTCTAAATTAGTCATTCCCTCTCTCTGTCACTGTAGACATCTTTCTGTATCTGTCTTATCTCTCCAGAGTAGACAGCTGTCTCTGTGTCTGTCTCGCTAAAAACATCTCTCTCCATCTGTCTCTCTGTATCTATCTCTCTCGCTGTATATATCTCTATCTGTCTCTCTCTCTCTCGCTGTAGACACCTCTGTATATGTCTAGCAGTCTCTCTCTCTCTCTCTCTCGCAGTAGAAATTTATCTCTCGCTGTAAACATCACTCAGTATTTGTCTCTCTCTCACTGTAGATATCTCTCTGGAGCTGTCTGTCTCTCTCTCCATCTTTCTCTCTCTCTCTCTCTCTCTCGCTGTAGACATGTCAACTGACGAAAGCATAATTGCTATCAATATTTTTAAGATATTCCCTTAAATTTTCTGTGCAAAATAGAGTAGTTAATGTATCAGAAATAATGTTATCATGATGAGCCTTGTGTGCTTTTATTTTCCTTTAAAAAAACGTCATTATTTCAACTGATTTTGAATGAAAATCAGCTGGCACTGTTTTTCATGGCTGATACTTACATCGGTTTTAATTGGTTTCTATTTTGAAAATTCTTACTGTTTAAAGTACTAAAATATATTTAGACTTTATAAAAACGTTTATCAATAGCTAATATTCCCGTAATTGATAGATTACGGAACGATGTACTTTGGCGCCACAATTTCAGTTCTATTGAAGGAAAATGCATCGAACTGAAGGAAAAAAAAAAACAAGAATGATTATTTACTGAAAACTCTAAATTTATCAACTCTTCAATATTTTTCTTTTTCTTGCTACATATTTTGTTTGAATCTTTAACTAATCATTTTTGTGAAATAATTTCTATTCATAAAAAAAATTAAAAAATTTCGTTTATGCATTAATTTTTAAATATATATTTTTTTTTGTTGCGTCTTTTTTTTACATAGGTTTTATTTTTTACGCTTAGATATATTTCTATTTTTCCTTTTGCTACATATGTTTTAATTACATTGTTTACAAAAAATCCTCTGACGCAAGCATTTGAACAAATGCTCTCTTACTAGTCTTCTTGCTTTCAACTATTACATTTTATTGCACTATATATAGTTTGAAAATATAACGTGTTTACTTTATCATTTACAAAGGCATATTTAACAAAAACAGCATATATACAAAGGACTGAGAGAATTAAATTAATTGGCTACTACCATACCTACATATCATTGTACAGCAGACAGTAAGATGTGAGGATTTAATTTTTTTTTTTTTTCGATAATCTCGTGTACTTTGCACCCCGTATGTCGCATTTTAGAATCCAATAGAAGTCACCCATCATGCTGGGGCTTCATATGTCTTGTAGTTCATTTCTATCTTAGTAATATCTTGAAGGAAATTTTCTTCCTTGCTCATCACTCACTGCTCTAAGTTTAAGATGGAAGAAGTTAAATGTGTGAAAAGAGAAAGTTAGTTTTGCGTGACAATCGACATCCCATATCATCCTAAGTCTGTATTATCTCGATACACTTTTGCTAAACTTTCGCCTGTGTATTACCATGGAACCCATGGCAGACTGAGTAAAATACTTCCTATGTTCACAATTCTTTTAAGATAAAAAAAATGCATTATCACAACATGTTTTCTATGTCCTTGTTTCGTGTCCTGAAACTGGTGATCCTTATATTTGCCGTGACCAATTTTCAATGCTTAAGACAAGATATCAAGAGCTTTGATTGCTGCAAGACACAAATCAAGATCTAGGTTATTCAAGTCTGCCTGTGTGAGCCTGCTTGGCTCACTGTCACTTGCACCGGAATATACACTGACATCTTCTTCAGAAAATGCAACTTGGCAGAATTTTTCCCTGCAGGCAGTTTTCATATGAAGAAAGAATAAGATTTTTATGTGCTAAGGGTTTAGAGACAAGGAGATTATCTGAGAGAGAAACAGGTTTCATACCTGAAGGAAACATTATATTTACCTTTTTTTATTAAAAAATAGAAGCATTGTAATCCGGCGTAATTTTTAGACAAAAATTACAATTATCTGCATTGCTTCGTTGCTTTCTCCAGAATTTCAGGACAGCAAAGCTAAATGCCGCTTCCCTGTGACGAAACTATGCAATTAGTCTATTGTAACAAAGGTTTACAACAGATGTATGGGGCCCAGGATTTATTCTGATCTCCAGATTTACAGGCAAAAATAAAAATAAGCAGTTCTTAGAATATCAGTAATGGTTCGGCTGTGTGCAACTGTTGTGAATTCCCACAGATGTAACATAATGAATTTGGCATGTTGATGCATCCTCGCGGTTTCGAATTGACGGAAGCTAATTTAGACATATTTATTAGCTCACAAAAATAGGGAAAGCAACAAAAAATATTAATCCATGCGTACCGGACATTTGAATGTGAGGAGGATTTAATTTTTTTGGCAATGAAACTTAGCTCCCTGTATCATTACATCATTTTATAAACCGGATCAGTTCATTTATATGCCATACGTGATACGCGCTTAGGCGATCAGGTAACTCTCAATACATGACTGATACCGAGGCAGATTTTACCGCAGTTTGTTACCATTTCTTTCTGAGGTAGACCAGTTTCCATCCAATGCTATAGAACAAGGCCTGTCCTGCTACTTACTCATGGCTGTGAGTAGAAGAGGATTCATAACTTTCCCAAGGTTATTAGCACGAAAGTGAATGTAATGGATTCGATTGGAATTCGAACTCGGATCACTGATTTCTCAATCCGTACTGCAATCCATTATCCAACTTCCTCCCCAAATTGTCTAATGCACTCCGGCGGGGAATCGAACCCCGGTCTCCCGCGTAACAGGCGGGTATACTAACCACTATACAATCGAAGACTTAAATAAAATACAATGCCTAAAATATAAAATTAAAAACATGTCCTATCTTGTCTATCGAGCAGGTTTCAATGTATGTATATGTATACATCTATATATCAACAATTAAAGGTGATAAGTGACAAATAATTTCAAATCTGAAATCTGCACCCAATCATTCTCTTTCTTTCTTTCTTTATCTCTCTCTCTCTATATATATATATATATATATATATATATATATATATATATATATATATATATATATATATATATATATATATATATATGATCACGATTTTTAACGTTGCCCAATGTTTTCTTGTTTTATAGTTTCAATTATTTTCTAACTCTTTTTCACACAATAAATGAATGACTTTGCCACTAGAATTTGTTTTTCAATTTCAATTTTTTTTCATTTACGTTTTACAGTTTACCCTCCTTCATTGTCTTTTCCGTCAATCTTAATGTTTTTCTGGTTAACCTCATCAATGCTAGGTTGATTGTCCATACAATCTTACCAACGTTTATTATGATTTTCTTTTTTTTCAAATCACAAATTTTCATACATAATCTAACATTAAAGTCTATATTTAATCTTGATACTTTCTGCATTTCTGAGAAATAAGTAAAATAAAAATGACTTTGTAGTACAAATTCAAGTGATGCTCTCTTGAGCCTGATAAAAGAATTTCACATAATGGAAGCAATATTGAGAGGCTAATGGAGCGAAAGAGTTGCTTATTTCGGACGTATTTCTTTGCCGGCAACACTGGCTGCGTCTCTACGAATAGACTTGGGATTAAATTTAATTTATTGCGAAAACTTGCGAGAAAATAGCTGAATTTTGGCATTTAATAGTTTATGAGACGGGAAAAATAGAAGATGTTAAAATCACATTTTTTGCACATGAACACACACAGACGTATATATATATATATATATATATATATATATATATATATATATATATATATATATATATATATATATATAAACAGGATAGGATAAATTCAACATGACTCGAGTTTCTTATTTGACTTCAAGAAACAAATATAATAAGCGTTATATGCGGAGACATACTAACGCACTATATATATATATATATATATATATATATATATGTGTATTTACAAAAATTAACAAGAAAATGATGCTGTGTACACAAATCCTCCGCGTTAAAAGATACAGTTCATTATATACACATTTATTCGTTTTTTTTATAGTCATAGACATATTTCAACCAATATGAAAACTTTTAAATATTTTTCGGCACGCTTATCTTTCTAGATTTTTAATTTTATTCGTTGTCTTTAATATGACCTCTAATGATCAGAGTTCATCTGAAGGACAATAACCGACAATAAAAAATCTAAGTGGGTTGGAATTATGAGTTTATCGCAGAAAATTGTCTTCGAGAGTAATTTTTCGGACAATCTATGTATTTAAGCGTATTATTTTCGTTCGATTTAGCCACCTGTTCGATATTTTTTGGTTACTTTCTCAGACTTTGTACTTTCTACTAATTATCCGAGTTATTTGTTCTTGTTTCTCTGAAAGAAAAAGAAATAGATTTTACTGTTAGATAAATAATTTCCTTTTTCTTTTTTTCTTTTTCCCCTTCATTTCCTTTTTCTTTCTTTTTCCATTGTTCATGTTTTACCTTTAGTTCTTTCAAACTGAGTGCCTCCAAATTAAGTTGATAACATGGATATAGATGAATGTATGGAGATAAAAACCATTTTTAATTAGTTTCACTTAAAAGATAATGTCAGTAAATAAAACTACTGCTCACTTGTTGGTTATCAAAATAACAAAACTTTACTCACGACACAGTCTTTCTATTTACTTACATCATACGACAAATCATAGACACCCTTGGAAAAGGTCATCGCGTGTTTTAAAATTTCAAAGGTTTTGTTGGAATTCTTTTGTACCTAATATATTATGAATTTGTATTTAGCTTAAATTAATACATCGCCAAGTAAACTAGAATAAAAATAAAACGTAACGAAGTCTGTTATTCGTTATGCATCGCATTTATAGTGTATGATTCTCTTGGGAAACTGAACTCTCGCGTTTTATACTGGATAACGACATTCTGACGCTATAGATAAAATGTATTTTATTATCGACTGAAAAAAAAAGCCAATATATTTTTTTATAATTATTATTTTTAATTTTCGTTTAACGAAAAAAATTTAACTTATATTGTATACCTTTTTAAAATTAAAGATTTTTATTAATATTTATGAACAACTACTGATCAGAATGCTATCAGTAAAGCAATGTACACGTAAAAAATAAAACAAAACAAACAAAAAAATCTGTGTTTCATATTAGTGAATATTCAGAATCTTCCATGTCGATAGCAGGGCACGGATTTTCAGGCAAAAAGTGCAGTTTTCAGGTGCTGGACAGTCATTGACCTTTAAGCGTTATGAAATTCGCTTTCTCCTGGTGTTAAGACTTGTTCATTTTATTATTGTTGTCTACAATATTTGAATTACTTATTTAT